TATTCCTTAGGTTAACTTTTACTAATCACTGTACTGCTAGAGCTAAATGAACTAAATATCAGTTTATGTAGTGTTGCTCAAAAGATCTACAGACAGCAAGGCTGATGCTTACCTTAAAAAAGAGCACTTTTAAAATAAAGGAAGAAAGCAATAATGTTCCAAATGAATGGCACTGGACAAAATACATATAACCAGTAACATATTTAGACTGAGCATATCAGGTGCCCACTGGTTTCTCTCATATTCATAATATGCTTGAGAAGGTCTTGAAAATACCATCCTTCCCTCTAAACGTTAAGCTTCTAAGTAGTGTCAGGTGTTATCATTAGTATGAAAGAAGAATGCTTTCAGGCAAAAGTAAAAACCCCATGTACAATGTAAAATAACAAAATCTGCACTGACTTTCTGTAAAAGCACTCTTCTCGGGTGGTAACATCCTTTAGTACATATCCAGGATAGACTAAACTGAAAGAGAATATTTTGATACAGTAGCAATCCTTTCATATACTCTTACTAAATATTATAAAATTCCAAAAATACATAAATATTCCTTGTACCATGTATTATGTACCAGTTTGGGCTTGACTGAAGGGGTCACGGTTACTATTTTTTTTTTTTAATTTTTTTACAGTTACTATTTTAACAGTTGAACAGTGCACCTCAAAAGTTCTGTCATCGATACACAGTGAATGGATTCCAGTGTTGAAGGCTCCAGAGAGATGGCAAACTATCTTTAAAGTGAAAGTTTGTGATGGAGTGTCTCCAAATTGGAGGAGAGGAGGATACGGGCTAGGGGATATAGGCAGGGTAAAGGAGTTTTAAAATAATACTGCTTAGGAGTATATATATTTCAAGACAGCTACTATAGCTTGTCTATCCTTTATCCTAATCTGGAATAACTGCATGTTTGTACCAAATAAAGTTTCTACTTTCTAGGAAGAGGAGAAGTCTGTTAGAAAAAGTATGTTATATTAGTTAGAGGAAGATGTGAAGACATTTCTCTTGTAAGTGCTCTTTTACTTATTAAGTCTTTTGGCTACGTCACTGTATGCTATTTCAACCTCCTTATCGCTGGGACAGGTGTTGGTGAACTCATCCCTACTGTAGGCATTAGTTAGGTATCTCCAAATGCCAGTCATTCCTTTTGGAATGTCAGAGTTGTGGTATTTTTTCGCTACCACCTTAATATCATGATGTTACATGTTAATTTGTAGATTTTTGTCTTGTAGAGACATTATTTTTGTCTGATATAGATCTATCGAGAGGTTATGGTTTTATTTCTGTGCCCTGGACTGTCCGTGGTCCATGGGGAGTGTGCCTGGGGCTGTCCGTGGTCCATGGGGAGTGTGCCCGGGGCTGTCCGTGGTCCATGGGGAGTGTGCCTGGGGCTGTCTGTGGTCTGTGGGGGTGTGCCCGGAGCTGTCCGTGGTCCATGGGGAGTGTGCCTGGGGCTGTCCGTGGTCCATGGGGAGTGTGCCCGGGGCTGTCCGTGGTCCATGGGGAGTGTGCCTGGGGCTGTCGTGGGCCCACTGTCCTGTGCTCTGAGTGACCCTCCGTGTGTCACCTTTGATCTCTCAGTAGCAGGTGGGGGTGTATGTGGTGTTTGGTGAGGCCTGCCTCTCCATTTCTCCTAAGTGTTGTCAGTAGAAAGATGGTAAATAAAGGAGTTTCTGGGTTTCTCGCCTCTTCTCTCCAGGCCTCAGTTACTCGTCACCCAGGACTTTGGGACTGAGCTGGGCGTGAGCAGAGGAAGGCGTCCCCCTGGTCCCCTTTTGCGGCCCCCACCCCGCTCCGCTTGTGCACCGCGTGCCTTCTTCCTGAACTCTCCTGCCCTGACTCCTTCTCTCCAAGTCAGACTCTGGTTTGCAGTCTTTCTTTGCCCACAGCTGGAGTCTGTAAACTTGCTGATTCCTGGTTTCTCTTTATATACCTGCCCTGTGATGCCTTCATCTGTCTGTTTCCTCACAGATGCTTGCCAGGCCTCATGTCCCTGCCTCTGCTGGGTGTTAGGGATAATGGGGTGACACCTGCCCCGAGGCCCGCACTGATGGGCGAGATCCCCAGATTCTCCTTTGGGCAGTAAGACTCCTCCCTGACGAGACTAACTTTTGTTTTCTTTCCAAACAGTAGTTATCTAGGTAATGGCAGTTTCCTGTATACTTTGCAGGTAGAATAAGTAAAACTTTATATGTGTGTATGTGTGTATATATATGTAATTTTGCAATGTGTATTTTATGTATTTATATATATTTGCAGTCATCTTAAAAACTACCTTTAAAGAGTGTAAATCCTTAAGAAAGTTATTTAAGAAGGTAATATTCACAGATTCTCTCTTTAAGCATTTCTTTTCACACCACACACTGCATTGATGGCAGGTTAACTGCAGTCACGCTTTGGAGACCTGAAATGCCAGAAGGCATCCTCTAATGTCCCAAGTTCCCAAATCTTTGCCTATCCAAAATTTTCTTTGTAAATACCTTAGAAGAGCTCATTCTTGAGGTAATTTGTGATTCAAACTGTGAGAAATTGGCAGTGTAAAATACAGGAAAAACCAGTACCTGTTTAAAAAAATAGTGAGCTTTTTACTACTGGGGTAAGCGAGGAGGAAAATCATTTGAATGAAATCAAAGCAGCAGAGGCTGAGCTTGACTTCTTGCAAAATAAAGAGGAGAGTGTTTCAAGAAACTCAGTGTTGTCACTTGCAGTTTTAGTAGAAAAATGCTTGAAACAAAATAGTCTTTCTATTAGTGAGGGAAGGCAGCCAAGGCAAATGAAGCAGGGCTGCTGGACAAACGGGCTGCGTCTGTGGGTGGGAGAGGAGGCGGCCTGGTGCCTGCAGGCCTGCGCGTCTCCTTGCGGGCTTGGCGGGAGGGTCCCCAGACCCCACACAGCCCAAGGAAGAAGCAGATCTCCTTTCACAGTAGAGGAAGAGTCAAACTCCCACTGGGTAAGGTCTGCCTTGGGTCCTCTCATCTTCCACAAACCTTTCCTTTTTTAAAGAAAATTCCAGTTTGGTTTTTGTCCAGTCTGACAGCCCTTCTTTGTGTTCTGAATCATATCCGCTTTCCCCCCAGGCCAGGATCCTGCCTGGGGAACTGCGTTGTGGTTGAGGTGATTGTTCTGTGAAGTCCATCTTCTGCATCAGAAACACACACAGCTTCCCAGGCCAGCCCAGTGCCAGCAGGAGGTCTGCAGTGGTTTGGGATATGTGGGCCCATCGTGTCTGACAGCTTACTGAGATGGCCTCACTCAGTTTCAGCTTAAATGCGCTATTTGTGTCCACTCAGTTTTTAGATATTCTTTATTACTGTTGTGTGGTCACTAAGTCATGTCTGGCTCTTTGTGACCCCGTGGACTGCAGCCTGTCAGTCTCATCTGTCTATGGGGTTTTCTAGACTAGAATACTGGAGTGGGTTGCCATTTCCATCTCTAGGGTATCTTCCTGACCCAGGGATTGAACCCGTGTCTCCTGCATTGGCAGGCAAATTCTTTACTGCTGAGCCACCAGTGGAAGTGTTAGTCGCTCAGGCATGGCCGACTCTGCGACCCTGTGGACTGTAGCCCACCATGCTGCTCTGCCCATGGAATTCTCCAGGCAAGGCAAGAATACTGGAGTGGGTAGCCATTCCCCTCTCCAGAGGGTCTTCCCAGCCCGAGGATTGAACCCACGTCTTCTGTATTGCAGGTGGATGCTTTACTGCCTGAGCCACCAGGGAAGCCCTGTGCTTATTGTTGGTGGCAGTTAAGTAGATCGCTTTAAACTGTCAGAGGCCACTGGCTGTTAACAGGTGTACCTCTTAGAAGGGAGTCCACAAGGGGGCCTTTTCCCAGCCTAGTAATTTGCTTATAATTTCTTCATTTGTGAAATAGGGCTTATTATTTTTACCCACCAGGGTGGTTTTGAAGAGTAGAGACGTGTGTTTTGAGTGCCCAGTGCTGTCTGGCAGGCGGTGGGCAGGAGCTGGTTCTGCTGTGTGGAGGCAGCTGGGGCGGCTGCCCTCAGCCCCTGGCCTGGGAGAGGGCCGTTTTCCTCTCTGCTGCTCTTTGCATGATAAGGATTCTTTTGTTTTGTTTTATCAGGGGACATGAAGCCTTGATGAGAAGAACAGGCTGTTAAGATAAAGGATGTCTGACCTCGATGGGTGTCTTTTATTATGTGCAAGGACATTGTACTCATATAAAGGACTCTGCTTAAATTTTTTTTTTTCCAGATTGTGAATTCTAACTCTTTGAACTATTTTGTTGTGTGTTTTTACGTTTTAGAACAGATAGTTTTTCATCTAACGTCAGTCAGTCATCATCTCAAATGTTGCAGATATTTGGCCTAGAGAATTTTCACGTAGTCTTTTTAACGGCTTTATTGAGGTACATTGGTGTGCGGGAAGCTTCAAGCCTGTGTTCACCTGTGAGACCTCCCCACAGCCAAAGTAGTGAACATGTCTATACTTTGCCTCTGCGGTGTCTGTACCCCCTCCTGCCCCACCGCAGACAACCCCAGGGCTCTGGCCCCTGCGACAGCTTGGCGCTCAGGCGGCTAGGCGCTGACAGCAGCGTGCACGCCTTGGTCCAGCTTCCTTCACTCAGCAAAATTATTTTGAGAAACATCAGCGTTGCATGTACCAGTTTTACATTTTAAGTTTTCAAAATTAACTTCTATTTGCACTCCTAGATGTGAAGCATTACTTCTTTGAAACTATTAACCTGTTTTCAAACTTTGTTGAGAAATCTCTTGAATAATAGTCATAGTGAAAATCGTAAGAGAGCCCTGCCCTGCACTGTCCTGGTAGAAGTCCGAGTCAGAGCCTCACTCAGGCCCAGTCCTGCGGGTATGTGCGAGGAGGGCTTTCGGGCTCCTGAGAGCATGACATGCCCTGTGTTATGATGAGAACAGAGGGAATGTGAAACTGACTGTGTTTGCTTTGAAAGGTGCCATGTGTCTGATGATGACACCATATTCACTCATTTCTTTTCCTTTTTAGATCCTTCCCAGGAGTTCCATTATGGGTGTGAGAGGTTTGCATGGGTTTGTGGCAAGTAGCTGCCCACATGTATGTACGGTAGTAAATTTCAAGGAACTGGCGGAACGCCACCGAAGCCAGCACCCCGGAGGGACCCCTACTGTCGTGGTCGATGCCATGTGCTGCCTCAGGTACTGGTACACACCGGAGTCTTGGATCTGCGGTGGACAGTGGAGGGAATACTATTCTTCTTTGCGAGAATTCGTGAGAACTTTTACCGCTGTTGGCATCAAGCTGATCTTCTTCTTTGATGGCATGGTGGAGCAGTCCAAGAGAGACGAGTGGGTGAAACGCAGACTCAAAAACAATAGGGAGATAGCCAAGATCTTCCACTACATCAAGTCCCACAGGGAGCAGCCGGGCAGAAACATGTTCTTCATCCCCTCGGGGCTGGCCATATTTACGCGGTTTGCTTTGAAGGCCCTGGGTCAGGAAACTCTGTGCTCGTTACAGGAGGCCGACTACGAGGTGGCCTCCTATGGTTTCCAGAACAACTGTCTTGGGATTCTTGGAGAAGACACTGACTACTTAATCTATGACACCTGTCCCTACTTCTCCATCAGTGAGCTCTCCCTGGACAGCCTGGACACCGTCATGCTCTGCCGGGAGAAGCTCTGTCAGAGCCTCGGGCTCAGCCTGGCCGACTTGCCCCTGTTGGCCTGCCTGCTTGGCAATGACGTCGTCCCCGAAGGCATGTTCGAGGGCTTTCGGTACAAGTGTTTGACGTCCTATACCTCTGTGAAAGAGAACTGTGACAGAAGAGCTAACATTATCTTAGCTGTAGCAGACCACATATCTAAGGTCCTTCGGTTGCATCAGGGTGAGAAAAAGCTGGAAGAGATGCTACCTTTGGGACCAAACAAAGCTCTTTTTTATAAAGGAGTAGCATCATATCTTTTGCCAGGACAGAAATCTCCATGGTTTATCCAAAAACCTAAAGATGTAGTAACTTTGGACAAGCAGGTACTGTCCATAAGTTCAGATCCTGAATCTAAGCAGGAAGTTCCCATGCGTATGGACCCTGAATCCAAGCAGAAATTACCTGTAGATACAGACCCTGAATTTAACCTAGAAGCACCCATGTGTACAAACACTGAAGTTAAACAAGAAGACCCTGTAAATACGGGGCCTGAAGCCAAGCATCAAGTAACTATGGTTTCAGATCCTGAAATCTTAAAGGTAGGTGCACGTGCCCACCCAAATCTAATATGTCATGATTGAAAATGTACCCAGTGATGGATTTGTCAGTGAATATTTATTGACGGCCTGCAGTGGTTAAGACACAGTGGGGGCCACAGAGCCAAACCCTTGAGTTTAGGTAGGAGCTTCACAATATATGTGAAAACCTACATTGTGAACTCCATCTCGTGTTGTTCCATGGCTGTTACAGAGTTCTAGGGACTTGAAAGAGAGTGATCACTGTGGGTTAAAGACAGAGAGAAGTCCCCAGAGGAGTAGTTACAACTGGAGCCAGGCCTTCCTACTCCCGAGGTTTGCTGTGAACAGGCAGAGATGGGACCTGTGCCCTCAGCAGAGCCCTGGGACAAGTAGCTGAGTCCTGGGGTGTGAAGGGCTAAGTAAGGAGAAGATAACTGGGAAGCACAGATGCCGCCAGATGGTGGATATTCCTGCAGGCTACCGTAGGGATTTGAAGGTAATCCTGAAAGTGATATAGAGCCTTGATAGTGTTTGAAGGAGGGCCACTGTTCATGAACTGCCTGCTCTGTGTAAGTTCTGTCTACTTGCAGTGTATCTGTTATCTTATTGAAACCTCTCGTTATCCTTGGGTTACAGAGAAAGTGCATGTGGACACTAATGCCCTGAGGCTTCTCAGCAAGTGCAGAGCCAAATAGGACTTTACTTACAGCTTTTCATTGTTGTTGCATTAAGGGTCGCCATCTTTCACAAGGTAAAAACCTGGGAACATCTCTCCCATTTTCATAACCAGTCTCTCAAGTCTTGTTACCTTGATCTCTTCAGTGGCTCTTATCACCCTGGGCTCTCACTGCCCTGTGTGGACGACTGTAGACAGCTGAGAGCCCTTCCTAAACAGGCCCCGGCCCTTGCAGCCCCTTTGTCATGCTGCACGCAGAAGGAAAGCCTTGATGAGCATCTCCCGTCCCTTCGGAGGGAAGTGGCGACCTGCGCGGAGCGGGCCTGTCCCCGGATGCTGCCTGCTGCTCCAGCCGCACAGTGCCCGCCGCTCTCCTGTGCGGCCCTCTGACCCCTCCTCTGGGCGGCGCCTGCCGGGCCTTCCCGTCACACGCCCAGAGGGGCTGCCCGCCCTGTGCGAGGGGCTGATGTTTGCCGCGGGTGCCCCGGGGTGCCCTCTCTGCTTCAGGTCTTTCCTTCCAGACCGGGCGGTTCTGTGAGGGCCTGGCCTGGTCTGTTTTTGTCGCTCCAGGCTCGTGTCCTGCCCTGCCACGTCTCAGGGAGTGTCCTCTGCCTCCGGTGCCTCTGCGCTCCCTCTCAGGGACTTCTCCCCTCCCTCCCGTACAGCTGCAAGCAGTGGTCCCCTCTCTCGGTCACTCACCGTGTAACAGACAGGGTAGCTTCTTATCGTGGGGAATTACAGTGAGAGGTAGAATGTGATACATGTTTCAAGAGAGTTGCATGTGAAAAAGTGTTAAGTTAAGAAATTTATTCTACCTGGAACATTCTTAACTGCCTTGTAGAGGGAAAAGAATGTGAGTGAACACTCGGGGAAGGTTGGCAGTGGACCCGCAGGTGGAGGTCCCGACAAGCAGTGGGCGCTGGGACGTGACGGCCTGGAGACAGGAGGGCCTCAGCACAGCCCTCGGAGAAGGCAGAGGAAGGCGTCCGGCCTCCGTGCTCAATTTGGCTACGCCGCTGCTCTCCAGCGGCACGCCTCTGCAGAGCTGCTCCTGGCTCTCGGGCCGCTGCTCACTGTCCCCACCGAGACAGCTCTGCTGCTCGACGCCCTGGTCCCCTGCTCACCTGAGGCCATGGGTGTGCAAAGGCCAAATGACATGTCTGCAGTGGTCACACAGCTAATTCTTGTAGACCCCGAGTGTGAGCCCAAGCCTTCCACGCTTCACAAGATCGAACCCACCTTCCCTGGGGTCTGAAAGTCCATCGGCACTGGGAGAGGGACGCGTCGTGGTCGGGAGTTGGGAAGTGGGAGAACAGAAGAGTCTGAAAGGGAGCCGCCCTGCTCAGAGTCTTACTCAAGACTTGGGTGGTATCTGCTTTTTGTCCAGCCCAGGACTCAGAGAACTCCCATGCCACACCTCCAGCACCGCTCCAGGCTCGCTTCTGTTTTGCTCTGGTTCCTGCCGGTCCCCAGATCTCACTTCCGTCTGTGTGCCTTGCACCTGTCCCTTCTGGGCTCTGCCTCACACACCCTGACTGCGTTCCCTGTGCCTGCCCCATACCCACTGGGCGTCCACTGTGTTCATGGGCAGCCTGGCGTCTCACCCAGTTTCCTCCAAGGGAAGTCCAGAAAAGTTAGGTCCAGCCACAGAGGGCAAGCATGTGTGTCCTGAGAGAGTTCAGGACTTAGTTCTTATCCTTTTTTAGGAGGCATGGGATAGCAAGTGGAGGTTCTGAAACACAGTAGAGAATGGACCGGTGTGGCTATGAGCTGGAATTAGGGAAATGGAACTGGAGTAAAAGAAGCAACTCAGGCAGTGTTTCAGAAGAGAATCCTGCTGTGCAGGTGAAGCTCCTGTGCTCAGGCTGTTGGGGTGGGGGTTGGCCTGAGCTAAACAGAAGGAAGGCTTCACAGGGACCATCTGAGGCGTAAAATGTGTGCTGTACGTGTAGTGGAGACCCTCCAGGTAGAAGCAGTGATGCCCTGAGGGGTGAAGGGTGTCCGAGGGGGATGAGAGTGAGGTGAGAGTAACCTGACAAGGACCCAGGGAGGCAGGTTCACGGGTGAGAAGGGAGGCGGGTCTGCCCGCTGCCGCAGCGGCCATAAACAGGTCTCAGAGGTTGTCAGGATTGGCACGTGGGAGGATTTGGGGGGGCCTACAGAGCTGTGGTCACCATGGATTTGGTGGAGGTCAGTTTACAGGAATTTGGTGGCAATTTGGAGGCAAAAAAGGCAGAAGCTGGGGATAGGGTTGCTCTTTCTGGAAGTCTGGCGGAAAAAGCCCAGCAGAGTCTCCTGGGCCTGTGAGCGGGTGGGGGGTGGGGGAGGGAAGGACAGAGTGTGTCCTGTGTCAGTGACCCGGACTTCTTGAGCTTAGAGGTCGCTTCGAAAATAACTTGGAAGTTTCTTACATTCCCCTTAAAAATTCCTTAAAAAATTTTTTGCAGTGGCATCTTCCAGCACTGACAATAGATAACCAGAATTCAAAGGTGCATTTTGGCCACATGTGGTTATCCTAGAAGTCCTTCCCTGCCAAGTAGCTGAATGTAGCAATTACCTGGGTGCATGCACACAACCATTGCTGTTTCCTCCAGCAATTGGATAAACTGAATTCTTGCTTTAGAATTTTCAGATTATGTGAATATGTTAAAGTTTTTCCAAGTGTGGAATGCTATATAATATCTGCAGTAAGGGCAGAGATAAAAGATGCTGAGGTGATATTATAATTGTAGAAAACTTCTCTGAAAACCCTGTGTACACCCAGAAAAGAATGTTACATCTCAACTCTGTATAGTTGCCAAAATTGAAAGTTTTTTGATACAGTGAATATACAATTTGTTATAACTTTATAGATAAATTTGTCAAAATTCTAACTCTTGAAATAAAAAAAGAGTAAGAAATGTAAGAAGGTATAGGAAAATACATTAGAGGGTCTTGTACCTTAAAAGAATCATGAAATATCTAACCATATTGTTTCTGATAGATTCTGTATCAAAAGGAACATTATAGAGAAATATGTTACTTCTAATGATCTTTGATTGGTTAGAGCATCAAGTAATAACTCTTTTGGGATCATTGCTGACTTTAAAGCTGCTGGCTTGTCTGCCATCCTGATTTAAAGAAGCATTTTGCCATGAAATAGACCCTGGAGTATGTCCAGCCAGAGAGCAGTCATGGCCACCTGTTGGCCATGCATTCTTTGCCAGCCTCTGTATTGGCTCATTTAATCCTCACGGATAGTTGTGTGAAGACAGCACCTTTGTTAAATCTATTTTACACGTGAAGGAGGCAGGCGCTGAAGGCATTAAGACTCAAGTCACCAGAGTGAATGGGCGTGACCGAGCGGGTCACCTGCGTCAGTAGCAGGACACTGATGTGCAGAGTTTTTGATGCTCCAGGCTGTTGTCAGAGCGCATTTTACATGCCATCGGGGGTAGGGTAGATTTAAATTATGAAGGGTAATCCTGCAGGTTGTCAGAGCACATTTTACATGCCATCAGGCGTAGGCTGGATTTAAATTATGAAGAGTAATCCTGCAGTGGTAAGAGTGTTCTTTGCAGAAACATGAAACCTGTATGTCGGTTATTACAGACCATCTGATCTCAACTCCTCATTGAATGGGAGCGTGGCATCCGTTTCATCATCCATCTTGTCACCTCCCAGTACTGACACTGCACTGCATTCAGAGCAGAAAGAAGCGAGTGCTCGGACACAGTTTCTGCTCAGTGAAACAGTACTGAACAGGTGAATGAAGGTGATGCAGTTTCTAATCCCAGGGAATTTATGGTTTAATAGAGATGAGGCAAGGTAACGAGTGGACGGTAAATGTGAGTTGAGCCCCTCAGGTCGGGGAGGTGAGTTCTTGTTCAAAGAGGATGACAGGGTTCTGGAGAGATGACACTTCAGGGGAACCTCATGGGGCAGAGACTGGAAAGTGGCTTTTGGGAAGGGCTGAAAGAGGTCAGTTTCCATCATGGAGGTTGGGCCCCAGAGTGTCCACGAGGGGTGCACAGGAGGAGATGGAGGTCTTCACGGGGCTTCTTTAACTCAGGCTGAAGAGTCTGGGAGCTGGCCTGAGTGCAGTGATTGGGCCTCTGTTTCCAGGAAGATGGTGTCGCTGGGGTGAAAGGTGGGTTGAAGAGCCTGGAGCGGGGCGGCTGGAATGCTGGGCAGCCTCTGTCCCTGTCGGGTGGACAGGATGTTGAGTGACGGCAGAGTTTAGTCACAAGTCTGGTTGGGGGGTGGAAATTGGAGGAGGAAAGTGGTACTAGAAAGTTCTGAGCTGCAAACACAGAGGCCAGCTTGACGTCCTGAGTTTGAGTGACATTTACTCTACCTCTGAGCCCTAGAAGGCCTTGGATTTCCTGCTGGAGGTCATGGTATTGTTTTCAAGGAGAAACCAGTTACATTTAACCATTGGGCAGGTCGCCAGAGCACAGCACGTCCAGGCGGAGAGCTACCTGGTGTACGGTGTGATGAGCAGCGGTGAGGTGGAGTGCAGCAACAGCCTGGAGGACGCCACGGACCAGGCCCTGCCCAGCCAGGCCTTTGTCTACCGGCCCGTGCGGCAGCGCGTCTACTCCCTCCTGCTGGGGGGCGGCGCAGGTGAGTCGTGGTCTCCAGGGGCCGTGTGGCTGGAGCTGATTCTAAGAACTGGCCAGATGGAACGAGTGCCTGCTTTCAGGACTCAGGATTTGTTTCTCTGTAAAGTCTGAAATGGAAAATGCCACTGACGCCTGTGTAGGATTAAGGGTAAACGCATGGGATGTCTATATATCTGGTTAGCATGCAGTTGACCAGAGTTCATTGAAAGAGAAGTGCATTGTTTCTGTTGTAAAGTGTTGTATTTTTATTCCTTAAAAGGATTTGTGCTTTTTAAAAAATTTGGAAACCCTTTCCTCCTGTAGAAGTGTAGTGTAGGGTGTGTCTGTTATTAGAAGACAGTTTCTTATGATTATGGTATATCTTTCTATGTTACTTTTAAACTATTTCTTAATATTTGAAGCATTTCTCTTTTAAGCAGCATGTCAGTCTTTCGGTCTCTGTCTTTTAGTTTGATTGTCTGGGCTCTTTACATTTACTGTGCTGACTGACATGACTGGGTTTAATAAGTCTTCATTGTGCTCTTTGCTCTGTCCTCTTTTCCCTATTTTCCCCTTTTCTGATTTCTTTTGGAATAGTTGAATAATTATTAGTATTTTGCTTTATATTGGCTTACTATTGGACTTGAATTATTAGGTTTACTTGTTTTTATGTGTTTGCTTATTTTTTTAGCAGTTGCTGTAGGGTTTATAATGTATGTCTTTAACTTGTCAGAATTTGGCTTCAGTATTATACCATGTTAAGGCATACTGTAAAAACCTTACAACAGTATACTTCCATTCCCCCCATCATTTTTGCTATTCAGTTTATTTTAAATATTTTATTTTGAAATAATTATATACTCAAGGGAGTTGCAAAAAATAGCATATAAGATTTCATTTACCCTTTATAAGATGACATTGTATATAATAAAGTATAATATCAAAGTCAGGAACTTGACATTAGTACAGTACTGTGAAGCAGACTATAGATGTCACTCACTTTTCAGGATTTTTATACCCATCCATTTGTGTATGTGTATAATTCTGTGCAGTATTATCCATACAAGATACAGGTGTGGATGTACAGATATCCATGTACAGATATGGATGTATTATCCATACAAGATATAGGTGTGGATGTACAGATGTCCATGTACAGATATGGATGTATTATCCATACAAGATACAAGTGTGGATATACAGATAACCATGTACAGATATGGATGTATTATCCATACAAGATACAGGCGTGGATGTACGGATACCCATGTACAGATATGGATGTATTACCCATACCAGATACAGGCGTGGATATACAGATACCCATGTACAGATATGGATGTATTACCCATACCAGATACAGGCGTGGATGTATGGATATCCATGTACAGATATGGATGTATTACCCATACCAGATCCAGGCATGGATATACAGATACCCATGTACAGATATGGATGTATTAGCCATCCCAGATCCAGGCGTGGATATACAGATACCCATGTACAGATATGGATGTATTACCCATCCCAGATCCAGGCGTGGATATACAGATACCCATGTACAGATATGGATGTATTAGCCATCCCAGATCCAGGCGTGGATATACAGATACCCATGTACAGATATGGATGTATTACCCATCCCAGATCCAGGCGTGGATATACAGATACCCATGTACAGATATGGATGTATTACCCATCCCAGATCCAGGCGTGGATATACAGATACCCATGTACAGATATGGATGTATTACCCATCCCAGATCCAGGCGTGGATATACAGATACCCATGTACAGATATGGATGTATTACCCATCCCAGATCCAGGCGTGGATATACAGATACCCATGTACAGATATGGATGTATTACCCATCCCAGATCCAGGCGTGGATATACAGATACCCATGTACAGATATGGATGTATTAGCCATCCCAGATCCAGGCGTGTTCCATGGCCGCAGGGGCTCTCCCTCTGCTGCCTCTTGGTGCCCACCTTCTCTCCCTATCCCCTGGTGAACACTGGTCGGTCCTCCAATGCAACACCTCGGTCATTTTGAGAGTGTCACATAAATGGAAACATAGTAGGTAACCTTTCGAGATTTATGCATATGTTTTAAGCATAAATATGTGATTCTTATTTTTACTTTAAGCTGTTTACAAAAATTTTTGTGAAGGACCAGATGATAAATATTTTAGGCTTTGAGGGCCCCACAGTTAGTAACAGCTAATGAGCTCTGCTGAGTCGGTGCCCTAGACACAAATCCAGAAGGGCATGGTTGTGCCACCGAAGCTCTGTCTAGTTTTCCCATGTCGCAAAGTTTGAATTGTATGTCACTGGTCTGTGTCACAGAATATTCTTCTTTCACTAATTTTCTAATCATTTAAAGCAATGTGAAAAGTATTATTAGCTTTCAGACTGAATAAAAGCAAGCCAGCCAGATTTGGCCTGTGAGCCTTGCTTTTGGTTGTTTTGGAAAGGAGTTAATCGGTGAGTTGATGTCTGCTGTGTATGCCGTTTCTGGTGCTCTTTATTGCAGAAATATAATTCTGCTGGCGGCAGAATTTTAGATGCTTTTGTCTGGCACTTTGAGGGTGTCATTCTGTTGTCTCTAGCTTATGTTTCTCCTGAGATGACCATGGTCCTTCTGACTGTTTGGTCCGCAGGTTGTGAGTGTGTGTTTCTCTGGCTGTCCTTAGGGTTTTCTGCTGATTGCTGGTTTTCAGCCCCTATTTAAGCTGAACTTTGGAGTCATTTCCTCCATGTTTATTCTGCTTGCAGCTGTTGAGCTGCTTGGGTCTGTGAGTTTCTATTCCCTGTTGACTTTGAGAGAGCACCATTTCATTGAACACTGTTTTCTGTGTCTCTCTGTCGTTCTAGGCCCCTATTACATACCTGGTTCAAACCTCACAGTGCCCCTCAGGCACCAAAGCTCATTTTTAAGCCTCCTCTCTCTGTGCTTCAATTTGGATCCCTCTTGTTGCTCTAATTTCACATTTACAGAGCCTTTCTTCTGCAGTGTCTAGTCTGCTACTAGCCTATCCAGTGAAATGGTCATTTCAGATATTGTGTTTTTAGCATGTAAAAAGTCTTCCATTTCTTTCTTCCCTGTCTTCATATTTTCCTTTAAATCCTTAAACTTGTTTGCAGTACCTGTTTTCAAGTCCTTGTCTACTAATCCCATCATCCTGTCATTGCTGGGCCTGTTTCTTGTCTTTTCTCCTTCTTGTGGGTCCACGTGTTTCTGTTTATTCTCGTGTCCAGTATTTCACTGTTTTGAAAAGGTTTTGGATCTGTGAAGGGTCTTGCCTTTTGTCCTCTAGGGGTCATTTACCTGATCTTGCAGGGTTTGCCTGAAGTCTCGTTAGGTGGTCTGGGGAACCTCAGGAGATAGAGGGGCTCTGTTCCTGAGGCTGGGGCTTCCTGGGCTGTCACCGAGTGCCGGCGTCTGACGCAGCCCAGCCCCTGCACGTGCGGCCTCAGGGGGCCTCAGGGTCGCACAGCCCGTGGCCGTCTGCCTGGCCCCGTTCAGCCTTGCCCTGGACCTGCCGCGCTCCGTCCCTCAGGGCCTCACGCCGGCTCTGGCTCTGCATGCAGCCCTGCCGCCGGGACAGCCTGTCCTCTCCGAGCCCTGCTCTGCTCCCCGCTCCGCTCCTCTCTCCTCTCTTGCTCTGCTGGGCTCTCACAGCCTTGGCTGCCATCTGCACGGCGCCCTGGGGTAGAGCTGTCCGCTTGAGGGTGCCAGGGCTTCTCGGGTCCTTGGCACAGGAAGGGCCGTGGCTGCAGCCCGCAGCCCCTGCCTCGGCCACACCCAGCCTCCTCTCGTGTTGTAGGTGCCGGTGGTGGTGAGTGCTGGTGTGGCACTTGTACCTTTTTTGTGGCTTTTCTTTGACCTTGGAGAGCTCTCTCCTGCATGTTGGTACATCTTTCTCCCATCCATATGTCTATTGTCTGTTGTTGGAGCTGCTCAGAGATGATGCTGGACCTCCTGGGCTGATGTTTTGTTTCTTCATCCTTACTTCCTGGTTTGTTTTTCCTGCATTTGGGGAACATTTCACCACTTCATTCTCAGCTCTTTGAGAGGTTTCCCTCTCTCCTTCCTGTCTCATTTCTCTCTCCTTTGAGACCTCACTTGTCTTCCTGACACTTCTCCAATCAAGTGGAATTCCTGCTGGAAGCCTTGAACCTCGCTGGTGGGAGGCTGGCAGAGCTGGGTTTGCTCCCTTTATACCCATGTGCTTTCTTTCACTTGCATTGCTTTAAGAATCAAATCCATGTTGACAGATACAAAATGCATTTTCCAACTCAACCCATCCTTCTGATCAGTTCTCTTTATTCCTCAGGCCCTTAAATACTAACTCCCCCTGATTCCTCGCTTCTTCCCTCATCAAAAGTGATTTCCTGTCACTCACAGGGACCATCTTGCATGTGGAAGAGGTGTGGTTGGGCGGGGAAGCGGGGGAGGAAGGAGGTGCCCCAGAGGGCCACTGACCCAGTGTCTCCTCTCCCTCCCTGGAAAGAAGTAATTTCCTCTCTACGGGCACCGTGCACTCTTCATTCTTCAGCCTATTACTGTTTGTACTTGCCCGTGCACATCGTCCGTGGCCACCTCCCCACCAGGCTAAGCAGGGCCTGGTCAGGGGCGTCCTGCTGCACCTGGCAGATGTCTCAGTGTGAGTTAGTGACCGATATGTGTGTTTAAAATACTGCCTCTTCAGAAGTGCTTGCATTTAGCAAGGCATTCTTTGGAAAAGGGTTACTCTGATGGTTGAATTTCAGACACCGAGGGAGAGCGATGGTCCCTCAAACGCTGCTACATGAGCAGCTGTCTCTAAACCCTGTCTGACGGGCAGGCAGGGAGCTACTTGTTTGGAGTGAGGTTTAGAATCAAAGGTGCCTTTAGCTCCGCAGTCACTGACTCTCCGCACCAGAGCTCCCGCAGGCATGCAGCTGTGGACACTGGAGGTCTGAGCCAGAGCATGGCACCAAATTGATGACTTCATCCCTCAAAGTCCCTAATTAT